CAGACAGACAGACAGACAGACAGACAGACAGACAGACAGACAGACAGACAGACAGACAAACAGACAGACAGACAGACAGACAGACAGACAGACAGACAGACAGATAGATAGATAGATGTAAAACTTACTAGTAATTCACACTGTCAACTTACTTTTGCATAGACAAATTCGACAACCGTTTATAGTAACATATCCCTGAGGACAATTATGCTTCAAACACTCGAAAAACGGGCATATTTTTGCTAAATAAAGAGAAGTAAATTAGGAATACCGAGTCAATATTTATGCGCCTTAAAATAATGTTCTACATGCAGCATGCACATACTTTTTATTCATTATCTAAAAACAATTACATAAATTTCCTTAATTATTATATTAAGTAACCAATTCAATCCAGCAATATAGAAATACTTCTGATCGACGTCGCGGTCAGTCAGTTTCAATGGTAGAACGTGATTTCGACCGGCAATTTTTATTTGACGAGTATGTGACCATCTCTCATCGTTACGGTTTAAAAAAGGCATCATAGAAAAGCTAAATAACAGCTCTTTCGTCCTATGATGGTTTTATCCGTTCTATTTTGTTTCTATCGTGCCATTCGATAGAAATTGTTTGGGTGGAGCAAAGCGAGCAAGAGCTATAAGGCTTTATCATTGTATAAAGACTCGAGCCATATAGTCTGTCAAGATATGATGGTCTGGAAACTAAACATAAGTCCAATATTGTTTTATGTTTTTGTTTGAGTTTATGTTAATTTGTGCACGGTCACGGTTATTGAGCTCATTATATTTTCGTATAATGAAGTAATCGTCCAATAGGGATAGCTGAGATGAAACAAGCAACCAAGATGAATAATATTTAATGAAGTTGAGACAAAGGATTTGTGCACGGTAAGGTACAGTTCAAGATCAACAAAGGCCTTCAATTTTGTAGCTTTGAAGCTTGCCGGGCTTCCAGACCATCATATCTTGATAGACTATGCTTGAGCCGAAGTCGAGTTTACATGTACCTTTATACAACACCGCGGAAAAACGTCTGCGCATGCACCAAATTATGAAAACATGGCGGGGAATTTGAATATCAATTTCTAAAACAAAAACATGCTTATTAATTGGTCAAAAATTAGTAAAACAAACGAGAAAATATAGCAAATGGGTAGACTAGACATTAATTGAAAGCGTCCTGGCATTTAAAGTATGGAATAAAATATAATTCATGTAAAAAATTGTTGATTTTAACGAACACGACCTCGAAAATTTTTGCAAAATTATTCAAAACAAAAATTCAAACTCAAAAGTTAAGAAAACTCTCGAAAAGTTAAGCTTCTTAACCCACTCAAATTTTAGAATAAATCCTAAAGTTTAATTATTGTGAACACGAAAATTTTTTATATTTGGCGACACAGTTTTTTTTAAAGAAATTTATCTCAAACGAAAATTCGGAAATTGTCGTTGCTTAGTTGATAAACAAAATGTTTCAGACGGTAAATTTGTCAACAATCACCTTTAGTTCATGTTCTTGTACAATACAATTTCTTGAACCTTCTGGCTGTATTTATTCCTAGTTTTTAGAATGACATGTTTATTTTTGCGCTCGAAATCTGGCTGTAAAGACACACAATGAAGTCACTCCTTTTTACCGCCATTTTGAGCCTTCGGAAACGTTCAGAACAGCTTCTCATTAAGTTCGCAATACTATTACAGGTAAGGTTGACGCATGCGCAGACGTTTTTCCGCGGTGTTCCTTTATACATGACAAAAATACAATCATGTGATCAAGATTTACAGTATATGCATTATATACGCAGCGGACTTTATCGAGGTATAAAGGGGTCTTCATATGACAGGATTTTACGAACTTCATTGGATAATTATCTGATGAACTATATTAATGATTCTAGAATAAGTATATATTATTGTATTAATTTATTCATGTCTTCAAAATGTAGAGAGATGTCATTGCGTCACACACAGGCACAATCCACCCCATGACCCCTTACCCCCAGAATTAACGCCCTTTTCTCTATATATGCATGCAAGAACTCTATTCAACAACAGACTCTTAAACTCACCGGTGGTAGGTGTTGGAGATGAGGACACCATTGCCTAAAATTATTGATATATATATATATATATATATATATATATATATATATATATATATATATATATATATATATATATATATATATATATATATATATATATGTTTAAAGATTTGTAATCCAGGCATATTATAATTAATTAAAGTTCTCCGGATTGAAATATACTTTTATTGAGCTTTCGACTCGGTACTTCGAGCCTTCTTCAGAATACTGAGATTAAAATTACATATGTACATTACTTAATTAAAGTTTTGCGGTGTTGCTACGTTCCTGTATACGTTGAGACCGTCTAATTGGCTGTTCCGCGGTTGATCTGATTTCATTGCTGGTTGAAGAATGCGTTGTCACGGTTGAATGAATTTGGCTGCTAGGGATGGCGTCATTGGAATGTTCGGATTGTTGTGTTGCGGATGTTGAAGGAAGTGTTATTTGGAAGTTAGTATTAGTCATAGTATCGTTGTTATTAGTAGGACATTTACGTGTTGTTTTAAGTTGTAAGTAAATAGTGGGAATTTCAACGTGTCGGTTAATTGTATTACCGTCTATACTGTACCATGCCTCTTTAAATTCACGTGCGTGCTTTGTTTGTCCTCGTCCTAATAGTTCGGTTTCTGTCCAGTTGAAGGTATGGCAGTTGTCGTATGTGTGTGCTGCAGGTAGTGATTTATAATCGTATCGTTTTATGGCGTTTTTGTGTTCAGTTATTCGTGTTTCAATTTTCTTCGAGGTTTGACCTATATGTATCGTTGTGGACAGTCTCTGCAAGGTATCATGTATATAGCATTTTTTCTTTGTTTTGATGCTGTTTTGTCTTTGTGTTTTGTGAAATATGACCTAAGTTTATGTGCCGGTTTGTGTGCTACGTCAATGTTGAAAGGTCGCAATAATCTGGCGGTCATTTCAGATGTACTGTTTATGTAAGGTAGAGTTATTCTTGTCTTTGATTGTTCAGGTTGTTCGTCAGGTATGTTACTCTGTTGTTTGTTACGTATTTTTGTTAGTATTTTGTTAACGAAGTTCCTAGGGTAGTTGTTTTTTATGAAGGTCGAGAATAGATATTTGCGTTCTGTTTGTTTAGCTTGTTCTGTGTTACAGTGCGTATCTATTCGGTTGAATAAGCTTCTTATACAGCTTATTTTGTGTTGAGTAGGGTGGTTACTGTTAAAATTCAGTATTTGGTCAGTGTGTGTTTTCTTACGGTAAACCTGTGTGTTAATCGTGCCGTCATCAGTTCTTGTTAACAAAATGTCAAGGAAAGCAAGTTGGTTGTTATCTTCTTCTTCTTTCGTGAATTTTATATTTTCTGTATAGTATTGTTTATAGTACGTAAAATGTCGTTAGTCTTGTCTTTCTTAACTGTAGCAAGGACGTCGTCTACGTATCTGTTCCATGTTAATGTTCCATGTTTTCTGTTCTTTAATTAAGTAATGTACATATGTAATTTTAATCTCAGTATTCTGAAGAAGGCTCGAAGTACCGAGTCGAAAGCTCAATAAAAGTATATTTCAATCCGGAGAACTTTAATTAATTATATATATATATATATATATATATATATATATATATATATATATATATATATATATATATATATATATATATATATATATATATATATATAATATTAACAAACAAAAATGAAAACATAATGTATCGCATACTCTACAAAAAACGTCGACGATCATTTTGGGCATACGTAAGTGAATTCTAATAAATTTACTGTAACTTGTACAAAATTCCTTTTTACGGGGGCTTATTTAGGCTCGTTACCATTGGGTTGACTTCGATCGCCCACAAAGTATATTGAGACTTTTGGAATTCACTTCATTCATTCCCCCCCCTTCAACCTTTCAGGAACTCCCTGGAAAACACTTCGGTGAGTGGAGCTTCCTGAATAAATATTATTATTATTATTATTGTTATTAACCTTTTATAACTTGTATGCCGCCGGTGTTATACTATTGTCCCAGTTTGTGCAAGCACAGCGCAAACAGGAGCCTGTACGAAGGAGTAAATGGGAACTGGGATTTGTCTTTAAAAAGAGCTTGGAAATGGGATTTAGAGAAAATTTGGGCTGGCAAATTGGAATCTAGACACCACCCACTTCAGGGCCCTCCGCAAAGGTAATTATATATACCATTAGAATTATCTACATGAGTGAAGAACTGATATATATAATTCTAATGTTATATAAAGTTACCTTTGTTCTATGTTATATGGTAATCTAGACAATAGTAGTTATATGCCAGTGCATGGATTATATAACGTGCATGAGCTTCTTTTCATAAATCAAAATTATCCCGCAATACAGAAGAATTTCTTTCACGTGAGGGAGGGGTGGGATTAACTTTTTTTTAATTAAGAGTAGGGGGCTTATTATTGAGAGAGGGTAATACAGGATTAGAGGTATTCGGTATCAATAAACGCTAAACATATATTTCGAGGGGAAATCGAAAAAGCTTGATGAGCATGATGAGCGTAATATAAGTAATATAATACTTAAGGTGGCTCCCTACAGTTATTCTTGTTTACCCAATAATTCCGTAAAACAGGCTTATTTGTGCAGAACGCGGATTCGTTTCGACTTGGTGACAATAGTGGTCACCTAAGGAATATTTCGAACTAGATTTCGACAACGTCAGTGTTACCATGGCAACATGACGACAGCACAAAACCTTCCAATTTAACCCATAAATGTGCCGCTATCTCAAAAACGATGTCGGTGACCTATCTTTTTTATTTCATATATCAATAGGGAATGATGCTCTGCAACTGTGGTGAAAGTTTAAAAAAATTCTGTAGTGTGTGATTTTTTAAAAGCGAAAATTTTGTTGCGAAATTTCCACACTACAGATTTTTTAAAAATTGAAATTTATATAATTTACCGCAAAATAAATTGGTGGTCAAAATTTGAAGATAGGTCACCGATGAAACTAATGAGTAAAATGCGAATAAAGTTAGAAAATAGCCTCGTGTAACTCGAGAAATTCCCCTTATTGAAAAGCGTCGCTGACTAGTAAAAGATTGTACGCGGGCGCAGAACGAGTTTTCATTCAGCAAAATCGAGCGGAAATGTTGTTTTTACTGTTTTGGTTTTGTCAACTTTTCGATTTATTTGAGTGCCATGGACAGCCAAGGATTAATGTGAAGGATCAAATCGATGAAAACAAGGTTGAAGCTAATTAAACCCTGCCGTTTACTCAATCTATGAGCTGTAACAGCCTATTAACAGGTGGACGTGTTTTTTTGTTTCATGTTTGCTTTTGTACTTTTTGCTAAAAATGAACAATTAGGCTATGAAACTGAAATATTTTTCTGTTTACATATAATCACTTTAATCTTGTAGAAACACGACTAAAAACGTGAACGGTTTCTTGAGAAGTAAATAACTTTTTAAACGTTTGTATGCAATTTTGCAAATGTTTTACAATTGACAGTGTATATTTAAAAAAATTAAAAAACATTGTTTCATAGCTATTTTTTGGTCTAGTGATATTCGTATCATATGTAGAATTGCTGTATAGACTCGCAAGTGATTTGGCACTCAAAACGAAGTATTATTCAACGCTTTTTTCCATTAGAAACCTTTCAGAAATAGCTTTATTTTTAAAAAAAGCGTGATCAATTTTTGTTTTGTTTTGATCATGCGGTTGCGTGGGATAGTCCACGTACTGGTCCCGCGAACATCCCGCACGCAACTGTAGGGAGCCTCCTTAAGTGGCAGTCTGGAAGCGCATGCACTCGCCGCGCCTCAACACATGCAACCAGGGACGCCGGAACTGTGGGGGGGGGGGCAGGAGGGGCAGCCGCCCCCGTTGCCCTTTACCAGGAGGGGCAAGGGGGGCAAAGGTGCCCTTTCAATTTAAAGGATTGCCTTGGCGAAATAGCGAATTGTCAGAAATTGTCAGTGCAATTAGCGAATTGTAGCAAATTGTCAGTGCAATTCTTTTACGAATTTGCTTCAGAAAACGCAAGAAATGCAGTCATCGAGCTTCAAGAATAGCACAATGGCCTGGCGGAGAACCCCCTCACACCCCTATCATCCAAAAAATAGAAAATATGATTAGGAGAAATTCAACTCCCGATGTTTTGCAAACATCTCTTAGTATATATCAATTCAAAAGTGCCCTTTCACGAAAATCTGCCCCCCTTGCCTTCACATCGTTCCAGCGTCCCTGCATACAACTCATCAGATTCCGGGAAGTCATGCACTAAAGCCCAAGAAGAGATAG